CGAAATGTCCTGAAAAATGTATTTCGATTTAATAATATAAGTGCAAACAATTAATTAAATTAAACAATAAATATAGCAAAGTAATTGTAAGTGTATTTGTAACACATGACATTTATATTAATATTTTAAATGCAATATAAATCGATATTTAATAGAACCTACCTGCCCACTTTCACCCTTTTCAATGCCCAACAAATCGAATGGATCGAAAGGTGCATCATTTATAGATGACAATGGTCTAGAACCAGAAGTATGACGACGTCTGCCCTCTTTACGTAATTCGGCTCTATAAAATAAGAAATTAGCTATAGACTCAAAATCTTCAAAAATAAATAATGAACAATAAAATTTACCTGCCGTTTTTGCCTTTATAGTAAGGTAAAGCGGAAAATATGAAAAATGGTACTTTTCCCGACACCAATACAATTCGCTCATCTTTACATTGATGTTTTTTCTGCGCTTGTGAGTTAAGAAAGCGTAAGTCCTTTGCATCATTGATTTGTACGCTTTTACTAATACTACCACGTACGCTAAAACTACCTGGAAAGCTACCAGGCGTTAAACTTTCTGTACTACTGTCATCTGTTATGTGTGAAACGGTGGAACCACCGATAATATTGTACGGACGTTTCGTGCCAGTACCATACGTAATACCAATACTGCCTGCTCCACGCATACCTGGTGCGGTGTTAAGACGTGCACGTCTTTCCGGTATAATATTTGTGGCATCACTGGCGCCATTGCTAAAGGTTCTATAAAAGATAAAGATAAAGAAGATTGGTTCAATTTATTATTCAAATAAAGCATATTAAAATAAAATCATGTTATACTTCTAGACAAAGTTCTAAAATAGTTTGTGATTTAATAATGTATATATAATGTATATAAAATATTATACTGAAGACAAGAAGAAATAAACATTTTTAAACTTCATATATGTGGTATTTTAAATTCATAGAACATGATATGATCATGATATAGTAGCTTTAGGCATATTTTTTCTATTAAATTTTGATATAATTTATATATCATTTGATATAATTTTGTTGGAAGCGTTGACTTATGAAAACATATGTCGATTAATGTCTAAGATAAAATAGGAAGCTACTTTTATTTTCACAACCTTAAATCCCAAAATAAACCTTGAAGACGTTAGCAATAGTATGATTGTTAACGATATTTTAAAACAGATAATTTAAAAAACAATTTAAAATAATATTGAACTAAACTAAGTTCGCAGAAATATCTGTTTTGCGTTACGAGAATAAGAAGTTTGGGTCATGAATAGATAACACAATGTATAATATAGTATAGTAGATGAGAAAGAAACGGAATTAAAATGAATTGAAATTGAGAGAGTATGTACTAGGCAGACTGATAACATTAGATATTTTAACTAATGATAGACATAAAAATATTTCATTGAAGATTAAAGATAAGATAAGAATATCAAGAACAACACTTACTAAAACAAAAAAATAGTGAAGCCCACAGTCCAAAAAAGGTAGAATCTTAAATAAGGCATAAATATTTATACATCTCTACATCTCTAATTAATGCAAAACCGTCGTCAAGCTCCCAGCTCAACTAAAGTTGTCTTTCAACAAACTAAATCCCTAAATAAAGTCTTGTCTACAAAATCCTTCAGTCCATTCATGTTAAGAACTTACAATTTAATCTAGCTTAATTGCTTATCCAAAAAATCTATGTCAGTCTTACAGACCAATGCACAATTATAGAGAGGATATGTTGAAGACCTGTACAAAAGTATTTGTCTCTCTCTCTATCTCGTTTTAGTACTTGAAACATAAAAACAAGTCAGATTTAACTAATTTAACCATCTGCTAACAAACATATTTTTTATCTATGATATCTCTTTTTGTAAGATTGTATGTATCTATAAGTGCTAAAAATTAATTTTATTAAAATGTGTAAAATAAATTAAATTTAAAAAAAATCATTTAACATTTTGTTAATAAATATCTAGATTCACAGCATTTCAAACAATTCTAATAAAATATTTAAAAATAGAGACTTTTAGCACTTTTTGTAATAAATTGACTAGATGCACTAAAGGCAGGCAGGCAGGCAGGCAGCGTATTAATTAATTTAATTTAATTATATAAATTATTGAAAATATAAATTAAATAAATTAGAGCAGTTAAAAACAAATACAAAATATTTACCATCGATAACAATAAATTAGAGATTTATTAATAATAATAGAATTCAGTTTTTATTTAGTTTAATACTGGTTTAGCACAGGTTTAACTTGCTAATGGCGCCACATCCGCGTCATATACACAATATATAAATTGATATTTTAATATATATATATATATATATGTGTGTGTGTATGTACGATAAAAAGATATGTAAATTCGTTAAGATAAAATTTTTTTAAATCGATTTTAGAATACATAATTTTGAACAATTCACATATTAAGTAATTTTGCTTGAAGTTAAATGGAAAATTGAGGAGAGCCAACATTTTCTTTACGAATTATTCTATTTTTCAGAATTATTAATGATGAAAATGATCTAAAGTGCAACAGGCGTACAAAATTTAGCAACAAGCAAATATTTTGGCTAAGTTGGTTCAAAATCTTTGAAATAACAAACAAAAATTATATATAATTAATATCATTCAAAACTCAGCAATACACTAAACTAAATATACAAAATATACAAAAAGGACCTTGAAATTATAAATGCCGCATAAAATGTATATATGCTGCTTATATTATTTGCATATCAAATGTAGCATGCGGACAGTAGTGTGCGAAGCATTGTATACTGTCCATAGAGTGCATAAGTATGCTATAATCATTCAAAATATTTGCTCGTTGTATGGTTCAAATACGTACCGCATCGAATACCTTGACAAGATCGTTTAAAAAATCCACAATACACAACGGAGAAGTATATAAACAACGATAATGATGTAGGCATTTAAAATCCAAATTTGTTTTTCGAAACTAAAGTTGTTTGAAATACCGTAAGTAAAAAAAAAACACCCCTTCCGAATCGATCGATTTTCGAATAGGCGCACAACATTAAAAGGCAGTTGCTCATTTTTTAAATTTGAAAATTTCAAGATCTATGTTACGCATAGATCGTTGCTTTTTCAGTGACATTTCATAGCTATGTAATGCGTTTATACGCACTTCACGTACGCACCACGCACATTCGCACATTTATAACCATTTATTGGTTATGAGTAAATGGAACTACTTCACCAGGCGCACAACAACTCGAGGAACACGATAAAGCAAAGGGCCCAACTATTGTAGATTGTTTGCTCATAGATTGCTCACCGAACACAACATACAGAAATCAAAGAGCAGTGCAATGTCGAAAAAACACGTTAGAGAAAAACGCGTGGTTCGAGTTTTTATGCTTCGAAACATGCGTGTAGAGCTGTGCCGGCTTTTGGCTTCATAAACACTGCTTCACTCATGCACGAGTGTCTTGACGCGGGTCATAGTTTCGTCAGAAACGCAATATTAATGTATTTCTTGCGTGCTGGTTTATGACTCTTCATCATTGTTTATGTTGCATTGACAGTGTCGTTTTCTGATAACAAAAAGTTACCACAGATAAATTTAAATCATACGATTCTATAGAATGTAAGCTACTATATAAGACATTACACATATATAAGTTATATACCATAGATAGTACAATAAAGTGTGTTATAGTGGGATAATTTTGGATCTATTATTTAGTAAGTTTTAGTTGAAAGTGATAGCTGATATTATTAGAACACATTGGGTGTATTGCAGTTGATATGTAAAGATTCTTATCTTTTCTAAATCGTTGAAATCTTTAATTATCTATTTATTATAAACTATATCAACACCAACGAAAATATGTTGTTGAAAGTATTTATATTTCTAAAAACCACAATACAGTCTCTTCATGCTAAAGTATATTCTAAAAATTCTTTTATTTAAACAGAAAGGAGGAGCTCTATTACCAGGAAAAAATTCTCCCTTATATGGATATAAAAATCTAATGGTAGTATAAATAAATGTATGCGTGTTGGTATATATATTTAACTAGTGTTAACGGCGTGTATAACGGTGTGTATAACAACACAATTTCAAGAAGTTTACAGTTTTTACTGGTTTTAAGCAGTCTTCAATTGGTGTCAGGTTTTGAAGAGGTGACATGTGTTGTGTGTGCTTATAATACATACAACCTAAAGCGTTCGTTCCAATTGTTATTGCAGTCATTTATAATATTACATTCACACGAATTAAAATATAAGTTTATGTTTGCATATTGGATTAAACATATTTAATGATATAACTCTACAGATCTAATAGTTAAGCGTTAACACCCACCAAATCTGAATTGGGGTACTGTAGTAGGAGCTCTTTTTAAAGAAGTAAAAATTTAATATATTCCTTTACTTTCATCACTTCAAACATAGTTTTCATCGAATGTCTCCTTTCTAATGACAACTAGGTCAGATCATTTGATCTGCTCCATAAGTAATTTGCTAAACAATGTCACTGTCACGATAAGACTCATACAGTTCATGTGGGTGTCATATTTATAGGTATATTATAATCGTTGCGAACTCGTAGAGGTCCAACGGCCTTATGAAGAACTTTTTTTCCAGTGCTGTTTTATTATACTGTTATAAATTATGTTTTAAAAATTCAGTCTATATTTTAGTGCAATACAGAATGAGTATTCTCTAGAGTGAATGCAAGTTTTGTATGTTGAGAATGTATTTGGAGTTCCAGTTACCTACCGAGCCTACAGCAGCCCATATTATTGGCAATTGTGAATTTTTATAATTTTTATTCCACTCGTGAAGCAGAATAAGTTTATGAGAAAATTTTTAGGTAGATGTATGAAATGTTTTCAGACTAACTTCTGAATATATTTCTGAAATCAAGTAGCTTTAATATCGATGTACCTACTTATAATCACGTAAATACACAGTATTAAATTGATGGATGTATCTATCGTATATTCCAAACGTACAGATAAATCATATAAAAAGTGTTATCCATGATCTGTACTTGCAACCAAACATATTTAAAAAAATTATACTATAAATGTATAGTTTCGGTGCCATTCAAATATACGTTATTTTATGCATTATTAAGAATAATAAATTTTTATTAGAGAACTTTTTCCGCATAACTTTTTCCCTTTGAGACATTCATTATAAAATGATTTTAAGTGAATTATTTCAGTACTAGAAGTAATCTTTTCTCACTTAATGCCAAAGGGTAATTTGGATATTATGATAGGTATTATATTGCCTAAGTGAGTCTTTCCTGTAATTGTAGGTCATTTAGAGACATTTTTTTTCTTTAAATCTAAAACTCTTGTACCGCTACTGTTTGCCCTTTAAGGTTTTTTTTGTTGTTTCGTTCGACCAAATGAAAACAACAAACAACAATAAATACATTTTTTCGGAATGTATCGCATGTCAATGCTGGCTGGCAGTATCAAAAAGTAAATAATGGAACGCATTGGTTAAACATTTTCCAACGAAATTTTATCAGTTTTTGAAAAAAATATATTTTTGTATCTGTGTGTGTATTTTTGGTTAATTTCAACTTAAAAACCAACGAAAAAATGGAAACGAAACTGCTGCAGTGGAGCTATGAGCGCCCAGCAATTCACCCTGAGTTAATTGGTCTAGGTCGAGGCTAAATTAAAATTTTAATTTGTTTAGCATTGAAGTTAAGCAAATAAAAATAAAAAATGTGAAAAAATACAGAGG